TTCGTGGATTGTAGCTTAGCTCCAAGAATATCCTGCTGGTTCAATGACTTTGGTAGTCCCAACTGAGGGACAGATACATTAGATGATGACAGGTCTTTTGAATAATGCAACTTCAAACAGGAAATATGTAGGATTCTCTTCAATCACATGATTTTACCTCTGGCTTGTTTATGATTTTCACATCCAGAGGGGCTGAATCCAACTTAGGGGGTAACATTTTGATGGCTTGTACGCTGGGCATTGTTGATGTAGCTGGACCCTCTGTTGGTGATCTGACCTGAAAGAATGCAGTGGCAGATATTAACATTCGGGATTCTAGAGACCACAGGGCTAACCTGTCAGTATCCTTAGACAGAGCGTGCATGACGGATGTATCACCCAACAATGCATCCTTATCTATAGTTTGCACAAAATTATTGTTTTTGGTTAAGTGCTGTATCTGTATGATTATATGTAATCATATCTATCCTGTCTGCAGAATACAATTCCTACTACTTAAAATCCTAGCTGCTCTTTCTACAGTCGTCATTGCCATGGTGATGTTCCACAGCTATTCTGGAACCTCACCAAATTCCTTCCACTATCATCTGCTTGTTATGAAAATAGAGCCTGGATCTAATAAGAACTATTATGTTACGTTTTACAATTTCGAATGGTCTGAAACCCAGCTAAATGGTAATTTAAATTTAGTAGTTAAATATATGCCAAATATATCTCCAATTTATGATATTTGCCAACAAGACTGATACACACAGTTTTCTTTTATTAATACAAATATGTTTTAATGTACAAACAACAATACAATTTACAATAACAGTTATTACAAATAGTTATTACAAACAATGACTAATATACAAAAGTTTCACAAACTTACAAGTATTATAAAGTCTTCTTTCTGGTCTGGAACTTTCTTGATATCTTGTCGAGGGTTCACGATGAGCGAGTTAATTTCGATTTAACGTAGGTACAATTCACTTAAAAGGGAGCTAGCTAGCCCTGTAGTTCTCGCTGATCACATGTAAAAGTACTAATGTCCGATGTGAATCCGCTGAAGTTAAATGGTTTGTAATGTTCGAAATTTATATATGTTTCTGGTCAAATATCTGAAGTTTCCCGATTAATAAGCGTTAATCACGGTTATAGCTTACGAACTTTATAGCACACCAATTACAGCAACCCAATAATAGATACTGCTTTTTGGAGCGTCGTGTTGGTTATATTTATATGCGTGTGGAAGGTTTCTCGAAAATTCAGATTACGTAACAATACAAAGGTATATTAGCGTTTACTTACACACACGCACATATATTGTTAATTCTTACACTCGAGAATTTTCTACAATTTTAGAGAATAGGCGGGAGTTTCGTAATACATATTTAACAACACACGTTATGTACATTTCTAAATATAAATTTAATTTAAACAAACATCGATATTAAAATAAATATAGAATAATAAATCCGTCACAGAACTAAATGGGGTACTAACCACAATAGGTTCAGAACTAACCTAATTTTCCATTGTAGAAAGTCCTTAATGCCCACAACTTTACTCCCTCTCAACTCCTTTCATATAAAAGCCTAGCATAGAGAAGAGCAAGTACAAAGTTACACCATTAAGATATTATTTCTCTCCTCTGACACTATATGAACATTCTTCATTTTTGTGCATAAAAACTGCCTCTTGAATTGAAATAATGTTAATAAAATATAGATAAAACTGTGTATTTTTGAAGTATTTAAATCTGCGTGCTTAAAAGTATTCAAACATAATCAAATAAAATATTGGTTACATCAAGTTTACACGTGTTATGCTACATGTCATGTTTGTGAATTTTAATTTTTATGGATAAATTCACTATCACTTGTGAAATAACAGATCAAAATGTATTTTCCTGCAGGCGTAGCACGAGTCCTGCCGTTACCTTTATTTATTTTTGTACAATTCTATACCTGCTAAATATTTCAATGTCTAAACTGAAATATTTTCACACCAGTATTAATGAAAACAATAAGGTTATTATTATTCCAGTAATGTTTCACAGACCATTATTCACAAAACACTTCATGCATCAAGTTTTTAACATCCAGATAAAAATATTTTATTCTCATTAAAATGTTGCCTACTAGTTGTATACTCAGCAACTGATTCATTCATTTTAGACAACACTTATGAATAATTTTTCATATAGGTTAATACATGTGTGTAACACCTCACACATATATCTATAGAATGTCACACATACACACTAATAGCTATAGGTAGCCATAAAGCATATATTGATAGTTACAGTTTGATAATGTGCCACCATCTGTGAGTAATGGAGCTCACTGGACTGTTATAAGCATCATGAGATAAATCACTGCATGCAGAATGTAGTTAAACTTAGGCTTTTCAGCTAATACTCTCTAACTGTCCTAGCTTGTGGTAATCTAGTGGTACTCGCAAACAGTGTTGCTAAGTCTGCTTATAATAAGCGGAATTGAGCCTCTTTTTTCTTAAAAGTCGCTTAACCTATTCTATATTCTAATTAAGCTGTGCAAATCACAATTTTGCGGGGAAACCATAAAATAATAATTTGGAAAGTCAGTGCAATATGTTATCATGGTGTATTGTCTTTGCCTGAGTTGGCTCAACTGTATTTAACTAACTTTGCAAGCATGTGCTTGACAGTCTACATTATCCACTTTGTCAAACCATCTCTTAGGGGGTAATAGGTAAAATGTACATTTTCATTACACCCAATATTTTGAGCAGTTCAGTAGAATAACTGACTATTGAAATTAGTTTCCTGATTCATGTGGATTTCATCATGGGCACAAAATTGGGCTATCTGTTGTTCTACAAACACATCAGAAACTGAGTTTATTAGAGTATCAATTAATGAATATGCCTTGATAATTACTAGCATATACCAATTATCTTGCTCTGTCTCAGGAGGAGATTAACAATATCAAGGGATACATTACTGAAGTTGTTCATGAACTTTAAAAATATGGAAGGGATTATAGCACATTATATTCCAGCATTGCAGGAGTATGGCATAGTAATATGACATGTCCTGAAGTGCAACATGGAAACACAAATTGCTACTTGTTAAACAGTGAGACTATGACCACTCATTGAATAGTGTGTTGTACTATATTTACTAGTCACAAGGATGCCACATGCACTAGTGATAATATTTTACAGTTTCTTATGGCCACGTTTGAGTTATGGCATTCAGTGCTTGTGTCAAAATGGCATGGTTTTTTGCATCTCAGAGAAAACTCTAGCTTAGAAAGAGTAAACTCCATAAATAATTGTTGATTCTCCTCACCAGAGAATATGCCATAATGCATGTTCATACCTTTCCCTTGCCACAGACACTTGAGGTTCAGAACTTTAGGCCTGGCCTCTAGATACAGCCAAGATGAACTAGAGACAGTTTGGAAAGTTTCTGTGTAATACCATTCTGGATGTGTAATGCTCTGGCCACTTTCACGTAAGGGAGTACAGTGGGAGATGTGCCTGGTTTGGGTGTATGATGTCTTAATAGCCTGCCACACATTCGAGTCTTATATCATGAACCTATTCGTAATTCTGCAGTGGATAAAAATGGCAAGATTAAGGCACACAAATAGAATTGTTTCACTGCATAGTAGAGAGAGAAAAGATTTTGAATAACCTTCTACAGCTTACAAAGGTTCCAGATTGGCCTCAACCTGTGACAAGATGACAATTTGAAGCTTTCTTGGTTTCACATAATATTATTGACGTTTTGTGACTATTTTTTCTAATATCAAACTTTCAATGTCTGCTCTCACTAAAGCCAATACATATCTTAGGTGGACAACAGAATTTTTAACATATATTCCTGACTCTAAAGTGCACTTTAGTGGAAGCTCCCCTGCTAGCACATGAATGACAGGACTCTGAGTTACTGGTGGATATGAATACCACTGATGGTAGATTTTGTCACAATTGTAGGATAGGGTAGAATGTGTGGTAGCATACACAAACCATAAACTCATGTTTCCTGAATGCTGATGCTGCTCAACAAGAAACAACTGCTTGAAGTTATGATCTTCATGAAATTCTATTAACATTATCTGTGTGGCAGAAAATTAATTCACTGTTCACCCATCAAAAGTCAACACAGAACCTGCTCATGTATCTTTGTCCAATGAGAGTCATCCTGGCCATGTGTTCAGCTACAGCAAGAAGAAGTTAACTTGTCTAATTGAGCAACATTCTATATTGAAACCAAACTGAAGAAAACAAAAATGTATATATTAACTAAAGAGGTAGCAAACATATATGATAGCCTTCTACTTCGTATATGAAAATACAGACTGTAAGTGCACAGCCCGAGGCAATAAGTAACACCTATGCAGTACTGCTTCAAAGTACTATACTTACATCTGAAAGGAGTCTGATAGGAAATAAGATGGCAGTGTCAATGAATTTCCATGGTCAAAAGATGAAAGTTAACTTGTTTTATGATAGGCCCTTTGATTATTTGAGTAGGACCAGTGCTTGCAATCTTGTCCTCATTTCTTTCCTACTGAAACTGGACTTCTTTTAGTAGTGAAAGAAATATGACTAGATTCCAGGGTAGCTGTGTTAACTGTAGCTGGAAATATGAGACTCAATGAAGCCCGGTGGACGAGGATATTCACAGGTGAAAAGAGTATATTGTCTACAGGTGGTATACACAAGAGTACACATAAGCATGTAGAAATGTCACTTTGACCACAGCAATAGCTTTCACAATGTATATCTAGAGGCACATTTAGGCCAAAAAATCGTTATGACTGGCCATTACAACTTTAATCTACACTTATAACTAAACTTTTGACCAATCATAGTTTAATTGACCTTACATTCTAATCCTGTCTTTTCGTATTTGAGATCAAGTTCTTATCCCCACTGATTATCTTGTTCTTAAAAAGCCATTCTTTTCATTTTTTGTTGCTAAAATCACAAGTTCTTGCACTGAAAGTTTTCTGTTTGGACAGTTTTCAGATGACTCAAAGTACTTAACAATCCATAAGATTCTGAAGGCTAACCCGACTTTCGGCCAAGTGAAGTAAGAGCCAATGGATGAAGATATGTTCCTTGCTGACTTGTCAGACATGCAACTTGTATTAGCACTAAAGTCTCTAGGGGACAAACATCCCAGACCACCAGGGATCTGAAAATAGCTGCTGAACTGATCAGAACTGCCTGTTGCTACTATCTACTGAAAGAAATCCAGTCTTTTGATCAAAGATGGCTACACCAGAACTTACATTCATCCCTCTTAAACTAGTTTAGAATACCATAGTGTTCCATCTGCAGGAGACATGTGAAGAAATGACCTAAGGAAGGAACACCATATTCCAAAACCAAAGAAGATATTTCCAGGGCTAAGTTCTTCACATGGCTCAGCTAAGCATTGGGGAGGTTTGATCATTTCAGATCCAAAGATCTAGGTGTTGACAGCGAAACCACCTACAGAGTTCCTGATATCGAAATTAGAACATCCATATCAGTTGTTCTACCTCCTCCATCTCCCAAGTGGCCCTAATTCTATCCTCTACAGCTAAGACATTTAGTGCTTCCCATCATGCCACTAACCAAAATAAAAGCGCTTCCAATGCTTCAACCAGTACAATTTCCAGGATCAAGCAGCCAAATGAACAGGTGTCTGGGCTCTTTATAACCGAGAGGAAGACTAGTTCCCGAAATGTAGAGATTCTCCAGCACAGCTGGAGCAGTTTAAAAAAAGAGGTACACTGTTTCCATGTTGAGCTGTCAGACTCCAAAGACTCCTCTGAGAACTCTGGGGGTCATATGTTAGACAACCACTGCTAGCGGTAAATCGATTGTTACATCGGATAACCTGCTGGTGGTGTTCCAGTAAAGATAAGAGATTCTAGTCTCTGCCAGTACTGTACATACATTTTAAACTATTTTCTTTTCGTTTATGTATAAACACCATTACGGTTATGTAAAATAATATTTTTGTACCTATATTTTATATAATGGTTATTCCTTTTTTATGTATTATTATTATTATAACTTTTTTATGTATGTATATCTTTATATTGTGGTTCCATACATCTTATAATGTTTTATGTGTCCCCTGTAAGCGGTAAGCATGTAGGCTTATAACGTTATAAAATCGGGTTTCGATACTCATGGTGGCCCATCATACTACTAACCAAAATACAATAGGTCTCTATGCTTTAGCCAGTTCAACTGCCAAAAACGAAGCAGCCAAGTGAACAAAGAGCTTGAAGGAAGACCAGTTCTTGAAGGAAAGGGATTCTTCAGCATAGTTGGAGAAAAGGATACACTGTTTCTATGCTGAGCTGTTTCAGACTTGAAAGGCTCTGATCATGTAGCTTTGCGCTTAACAACAAACAAACAAACAAAACAAATTGTTTTATGTAGTAGTGAGGTGTTTTTGTTTATTTTGTGCTTTAATTTGAAGAGTTAATTTTTCCATATTATATGGTTTTACTTTGTCTTTTCCATTATTATTATGTTTCATTTCAGTAGTTTTTATTTTATTTTTTTGTATGTAATTTTGAAAAGTTTTCTTTGTATTTGTTTGATCACCACTTGGATTACCAAGGGGGAAATCTTTCGTACATTATTTTATGAGTTAATTTTCGGTGTATATACATATATACATTTAAAAGGCAATGTTCGATTTCTCATTTTTGATATAATTTTGAATTATGATCTAAATAAAGCTATATTTGCAGGTTGTGCTTAAATGTGTTAATTGAAATGTTTAATTTGTTTGAGAGTGTTTTGGTTTGATGTAATGATGATGTGTGACATCTAAAAGTTTCCTGACTCTCAAGATTGGACATGAAATTTCAAATTTTGAGGAGGTTTGGGAAAAACAAATATTTTATTATATAACAACATCAGAATGGATGATCCAGTTAGCGAATGAGTTGTAGAGTTCTTTGGTGAGCCAGTTAGTCACAGAGTAGTCAGTCAGTCAGTCATTGAGTTGATTAGTTAATGAATCTGTTACCGTGCTATCAATCGTTTACCGAGTTAGTGAGTGTGTTAGTCAGCCAGTTTTGGGTTGTGTCGCAGAAACGAGATGAAATTTAACAAGTAACAAATTTAACATTCTTTTTACCGAATAAGAATTGTCAACAATAATTTGTCCTGTGGTAAAATTCGTTACCACATTGCTGTTAGGAATGGGCTTATTTTGGTAAAATAGAATCTAGGCTAAACTTCAGGCCCGTTCGCAGAATGGTTAAAAGGAGGGATCTAATTTGTGAGATCAAAAGCCAACCCGTATTGTGCGAAGCACAATCAGCATGCATAATATGCTAATGCTATGGGGGTCTGGTGACATGTACAACAATATTATATTGGCTATTTCAATGATTAGCTATCATATAAGTACATGTATGCACTACTGAAATAACATCAAAAAAACATGGGGTCAACCCCCCGAACCCACACACCCGCGTACGTGCGTAAACTTCAACATGATGAAACATTCTCGAAGTGATATTACAAAATAATGTAAAGCGAACAAGGTGAAAAACACAGTGGTAAAAGAAAATCAATATAGAAAATTAAAATACGTCATAGAGGACAAAGACAGAAAATTAGGAGAGAGACAACATATTAAAAGAAGACTAAAGAGGAAGAGACAAGAAATTCCAGTAAAATATTATGTAAGAGAGGAATTTAAGAGGGAATTAAAAGAAAGAGACGTAAAATTTAAAGAAGGTTTAAGAAAAAAATTAATTTAATTGGAGACAAGATCTAAGAATCTAAGTTACCTTATCTGGATGCCCAACAAAAATGATTGATTCATTGGCCTGCAATAAATTCATAGACGCCATAATACATAAAGATATACGAATTAGACTAATGCAAAGTAGGTATTCATCTTTAAAGAAAGCTGTCCAGTTGATGATGGAACTTGAATCTATAGGAGTTCAGATTAACAACTAAAAGCATCATCCAGAAATTACAGGATTATTAGATCGAGTCGCATAGTAACATCAATTATTTTAACAAAAGTCTAAAAGAGCTCATATGGTTCATCAGGTAACTGTTAGTTCAGAATGAAAGAAGTAAACCACACAAAGGTGTTTCCATTGCAACTTATAATGATATTTGCCAGGAAGTGCAGACAAAAGCCTTTAACTCTAGCACGCCCAGATGAGTGCACTCCGTCTCGAGGACAAATTGAAACTTTGAATTAAAAATTACAGAAAATAAACGTGTAGTCGCCCTCCCACACACACAAATACTTTGGAGC